GATTTACCTGTCCTGACAGCACTCACCAGAAACAATATTGCTCTGTCAGGGCGGTGACAGTGCTTGTGAGGGAGGAGGATCTCATAATTGAAACAGAGATAGATAGCACAGATTAGTCACTTTGAATTTAGTTAGTCTAAAACTCCTGATTTGTAGGAAATTTTACTTTATGAAATTTATATGTATTTTTGTTGGCACTAGAAAATTTGCAATATGATGGAATTGACTGGAACTTATTATTACTATTATTATTTGTAAAAGGACTTTCAGTTGCTTAAGAAAAATGGTTCTGGAAGTAAAACTTGATGTTTCTGAAGGAAGCAGTAAAGCACCTCCACTTTCTTTCCTAGGTTGAACCAAATAGACTACTTGATGGAATGAATTTCCACCTTTGAAGAAGGTACAATGTTTTCCCCCTCTGGAGGAATAATTTTCTACCCTTGCACTTAGCCTTGTTAATGGATACAAAATAGTCACTTGGGGATTCTTAACTTTCCACTGAATAGTCTAAATTGCTTAACCTCATGGTCCAAAGTGGAGCCATGATGTCTCCAGTTCACAGGGCAGTCACGCAGGGCCTGGGTGGTGTCAGTGGCTGAAGATGCCAGTGGCTGCTTTGCTCGGCAGCTGTGGAGGTGGTAATGTAGTTTCTTAGACAAAGTTCTATTGAACATATGTTAAAGTTTATTATTCATTAATGAGGTAAAGTGCCAGTTTAAAATAGTAAGAATTTAGGCCTGACTGCTCTTTTACCCTCTATGGTCATAAAAACATTTTTATCAGTGATAAGCTTAAATTTGTGACATGAATGGCTTGGGCCATAATGTGACATGACGCATTAATCAGAAATCACAAGTAATATATCTACAAAGCAAACAATAGGCTGATTGATCTATAGTTACTAATTAGATGGACCAAGAAAGTTTTATGCACTCACAAGGAGCCAGTCACCCAGATGCCAGACAGAGGTCAAACAGAAGTCAGCGAGCAGCAGCTTCAAGTCCTGCTTCTTCTCAAGCAAAATTTTCCAGCAGGCCATTAGCGGTGCTGAACATCTGGTTTGTGTAGTTCTTATTTGGGGGACAAAATTTTTCTTTCACAGTGAGGAGAGAGGGGAGTGACTGGAACCTCTGTTCCATGGGAGGGAACAGCCCATCGGAGAGCACGCTGGAGGACTGAGAGGGCTGGACAGGGAGACGGTGCTCCTGGTGCCCTCTGACGCCTGGCCACGTGTACGGCCAGCCTTAGAGCCCTGGAACAGTAGCCCCAGAAGGGCCCTTGGAGAATATCACAGCTTGTGGTTTTCAGACTGTGGTTTGAGGAGCCCAGGGGGTCAAGGAGCGGCCGAACAGCTGTGCTATACCAAGTGAGCAGGCTGCGCTAAGCGGGGGCACCAGAAGACTAACTGGGAGTTCTGTTTCAGATGTTTTCATTTAGAAAAAAATGATTTAACTTCGTCGTAACATCAACATTTTGATGTTATGTTTTCGTATTGCTTTTAGTTTGAATTGTGTATGTGAAGTGGGTGGGCGCCCTAATCTCTAGTGTTGAGGGTCTCTAAGGATATTTACTCAGCCCTGCCGACTGGGTAGGACCCCGAACCCCGCTCGTCGGCCCCTCCCCAGCATTTCTGAGTAGCTCTGATTTCTCTGTTTTTGTGATTGGGGTTTTAAACAGTTTCAGGTGTAAACGAGTCATACTGGTACAGGCTAGAATACAGGTTACCGACAAAGTTTCATTTATTCATCTGCCTGTTCTGTTTTGTTTTAGGGCCAGTGACCAGATCAGATTCATGTCTTTGAATGATTATTCTGGAAGGGGGTGGACTTGAAGGTGGGGGAAGACCTCTGGACCTCAGTTTTGCCACCTGTGAAGCCAGGCTAATTCTGGCTTCAGTGTTGCGTGATTCTTGATTACGAGTGAGCCTTGAAGCCTGAGTTCCCGTAAATGACAGGTTTTCCTAATGAAAATCAGCCAGGGAGATTATGTATTCCTGGCAGTTGCAGTCACAAACTCTGTTTGATGTTAATGGGCTTACCAGAAAGGGCTTTTGTGGGGTTCCTTTGGCCCAAGACAGGCTAGCTATTGATGTAATCAGGAGACCGCAGAGAATGACTTCTCCCGCCCCCGCCCCCTTTAACAGTGTGTGTCTCCTGTGACTCATGACACCGCGCCTTAGACCTTGGAGCAAGTCAGCACGTTTCCGAGGCTGAGGAAGGGCCAGCGTGTGCCTCTTCCTCTGATGGAGGCCACTGCCTGATCCTGTGGCCTTGGGAGCCCTGCCAGGGGCTTCTCCTCCATCCTGGAACTTGCCCAGATCTGACCAGACTGACTACAGAGCACAGGGGAGTCCATTCCTGAATCATAGTGCTAGGAAGAGTCATAGAGGCCTTAGAGTTGAGTCCAGGGGTTCCTGAACCTGGCTGCGTGTTCAGATCACCTGGAAAATGGGGGCAAGGAGGGAGGAAAGGCCCCTTCCTCTCCTCTCCTGAGTCTAATTCAGTAAGTCTGTAATGGGCCCCAGAATCAGTGTTTCTTAAACTGTCCTAAGATGGTTCTCACTTAGCACAGTGTACAGCATTTGGTGACCACTGATCTAGTCTCACACTTAAAAGATCTAACCTCATACTTTAATTTTATTTGGCTTGAAAATTGTACATGTATGTATGTAGTCTTTTTTTTTTAATATAGAGAACTATAAAGAAAAACCCAAAACTAAAAAGTTGATTTTTCCCTCAACCAGTTGACTTAAAAAAATTAAAAGCAAGACATGCTCATGTGTAGAAAACTCAAACAGTATAAAAATGTGAAGGGTGAAAAGCAAAAACTTCTCCCACTCCTAGTCCAACTCCTAAAGGTAATCACTATTAACACTCTCTTCAGATTCTGCTCACAAATGATTTCACAGTTATATACCCTTGCCTAACTACTTCATTCTACAAAATCTGAACCAGGGAATCATCCTATACACATTATGCTGCACTTTACTTTTTCCACTTAAACAATTTGGGAGCTCACCACAGATCATCATTCTTTTTAATAACTATTAAGTACGTTAATATTTGTAACACACTTGGAACAATGCTTGGTATGTAGCAAGCCCTATGTATTTGTTAAATAAATGAGTGAAAATTGGTGCACGGTATTTCATTATATGAGTATACTCTGCTTTATTTTACAGTTTGTGGATACGTCTGTTGTGTTGGTTGCTATAGCAAACAGTGCAGAAACAAACTTCGTTGTATGTAAGTCTTGGAGACTGTACCTTGGGCATGGCGATCAGGCACTTAATGCAGTCACAGTCAACACAGAGCCAATGCAATAAAAAGGAAAAGTTACTAATTTAGGTAAAAGCAGGAAATGGGACTGGAACTGGGAATTTTGCCTGGGACCTAGAATCATAGATTTATAGATCTTGGATCTAGAAGGAACCAGAAGAGATTGTTTGTTCCAGCCTTGTGACTTCTGGGCAGGGAATGGGTTACACCTGTGGTTCCCAGGTTGCGCACTGAGCCCTGGGGAGCCGCACTGAACTTGCCTTGAAGAGTGTGTGTCTGGGGGCTGCGGGGTCTTTAAAATCTTTGACAGGAATATTGATATTTGACATCTCTCAGACACTGTGCAAACTACTAGCTCAAGACAGTTTATGGTTTAACATTAATCATACTAAATTCCCTTTGGCAATGCTGTATTTTGTGAAGCTGAGTTTTTGGCGGTTGCTATGATACAACAAGCAGCACACACAAATGAACGGGGAATAGGAAGCGAGCAGGGCATCGTCTGATCTGACTCCAAAGTTTGAAAAGTTGTGCAATGCCTCACAGTTGTACACATGCCATTAGTAAGTTTCTGGCTAAGAATGAAATACACATTTTTTTCTTTCAATTTGTACGTATTATTCCGTCAAACAGTTACTAATTTCTTAGAACATGAATGCTTATTAAGCTGAAGCTAACTATGTAATAAATGGGACTGCTAGGTATTTCTTTTGGCCTGGAGGGCTGTGAAAAAATGACTGAGACACTAAGGGTGCTGTGAATTTTAAAAGTTTGGGAACAACTGATTTACATCTTTATCCATCAGAACTCTTTGAGCTGCAAGTGACAGAAACCAAACTGACACTGGCTTCAGCAAAACTAGGGGATTATTCACCTGTATACCTGGGATGCCCCGCATTGCAGATGGTGTCAGACTGGCTGGGTTCAGGTGCTCAAATGAGGTCATCAGGGCTCCACTTCTCTTTCCATCTCTAGGACGGGCTCTCCACACGTGGGCAAGAGTCCCACACCCAGCCTCTCCAGACTCACATCTTTACAGTTTAACAAACTCAGCAGAAAGAATCATTCCTAATAGTAGGTGCCTAAAAGCCCTGCGAGGACTTTGGTTGAGCTTGCCTGGCCACTTGCCTATCCCTGAACTGGTAAGGGCCAAGCCTCGGTCACATGTCCATCCCTGTGCAAGTCCCTAACTTAAGCACACAGAAAAGGTAGGTTCTGTTCCCAGGAAGGTGGGAGAAGGGATGCAGAACCAAGAACAATGAATTTCCCATTTGACAGATGAGGGAAGAGAGCAGTGGTGTGATAGTTTAATAGTCACACGTGGAGAACCTGGAGGCCCTCCCATCTGGTTTCACTTCTTTGGTTAAATTAACTTCATCTACATCTTTTAAAGCTTTAGAATTCTTACCTCCACGATGGGGATAACTGAAGATAAAGGCCAAGAAATGAAAAAGCATGGCAGTAATACTCCCCTCCTCAAAGGCCTGGTGGTTGAAGTGAGCACTAGGTGAGGTAAAACACATGACGCGCTTAGCACGGGGCCTGGCCCACAGCAAGCCCGCGCGGTAAAGGAGGCCATTATTATTACTGACTAAGCAACCTTAACACGTACAGAGCTGATAAGTGACCTACCTTCTGACTCCTGGGGCAGGCTTCCATTCCAACGAGGGAGGCAGGGTGAGGGTACCACACGGTGATGTCCTCTTCTCCTGTCTGTTGCAGAGTGAAGCAGCATGGACGCCGTCAGCCAGGTCCCCATGGAAGCCGTGCTCCCCAAGCACATCCTGGACATCTGGGTCATTGTCCTCATCATCCTGGCCACCATTGTCATCATGACCTCCTTGTTGCTGTGCCCGGCCACTGCGGTCATCATCTATCGCATGCGGACTCATCCCGTCCTCAATGGCGCTGTCTGAGAACCTCCCAAGAGGGGCAGGTGAAGGATGAGGACAGCGTCCCCTCCCCCAGCTTCTTCCCCTTCCTCAGAAAAGCAGCAGGAAGGACTTCGGAGCGTAGACTTTGGAGCCGGATATGTGAGGAGACCTGAGTCTTGGTTTTGATCCTGCCACTGGCCAGCTGCGTGAATTCGGTGAAGGGACCTAATTCTCTGAGTTCCAGGTTCCTTATCTTCCAAATGGGGAGCGTGATCCCTGTCCGTCCTACCTCATGGGGTGGTGAGAACCAATGACCTAGCGGAGGTTAAAGCTGTTAGTCAGCAGATACACAGGTGTTATCACTGAATGCTGAGAAGCTTTGAAGAACCAAAGACCCTAATTGCTGATGAGAGCCTTCAAGGGAGACACGGGCAGAGCAGCCTTTGCCAGTGCCCCTCAGGTGCAACCAAGCAAAGGCACCCTGTCCTCGTTCCAAGGGACCAACAGCATGTGGCTCAAAGTTACTGTCTTTGAGGTGCCACCCCCTCGAGTTTTCTAATTTGGGAGGGAACTGAGCATAGCAGGAGGAGGGAGATGGGTGGATCTTCCCAGGATGCCAGAATCTCTGCCCCTGTGCAGTCTGGAGGGGGCTCTGCCATTTCTTGGCAATGCCAAGGGAGCTGGGCCGATGGCTTCTTTCTCCACTGGAGTCCCATAGCTTTGACACTCAGTGGGTGTTGGCAGATGCAGGGTGGCTGAGATCCCTGGCCAGCTTTCAGGCCCTCCAGCCCCCATCCCCTGTGTCCCCCTCTCCCCCAGCTCCTGCTATAATTAGCTCCGCCGCATGGTGTATCCTCCCGTCACTCCCTCCCACCAGCAGTGCAACCATTCCAAGATACAGACATATTTTAAGAGATGTTCCCAGCACTTTTGGAACTAACTCAAACAACAATGTTTATTTTAAACGCTAAAATTTATATTTATATGTATACAGAGATTTCTGGACCACTCAAGCTCTTTGACTAAAATCAGGAGCATGGGGGGATTTATTAAGTTATGTAAGAAGACAGCACAGATACCAGGATATTATTGTGTGAAAACAATGCTTTACTTTGATCTGATTTCATTGATGTACACAACTAATTTCCAGTAAAGTGCTAGAATGAGCATGTCCGAAGTCTTTCTTTGTAAAGAGTACCTATTAAACTCAGCAAGAGGATTTCACTAAGTTTATGACCTTAGGGGTCGATTGAATATAGGAACAGAAAGGGAAAGAGGGCAATCAAATCGACTTCCAGGGTTCAGTGAGGTGGTGGATAGCTGTGCAGTTTACACAGACGTAGAATGCAGGGGGAAGAACAGATTTTGGAAGTAAGATGATGAATTTAGTATCAGGTTTAGTATGTTGAGTTTGAGGTGCTTGTGATATTCACGTAGACACTTTAAGGATGCAATTGGAAACCTGGTCTGTTCCTTGGGAAAGATTTTATGGCTGGAGTTACGTTTTGGGGGATTATCTGCATACGGTAGATATGCCACCCAGGGGGACAGGAACACCCTGGCAGAGTGTGCAGACTGGGAAGAGTGAGGGGCTAATGCAGAACTTGGAAAGTGCTAAAGAGGAGTGGAAGGGGAAGAGGGGAGAAGCCAAAGCAAGGAGACTGAAAAGGTCATGTGATACGAACTGATCATGAGAGGGACGCAGTTGTACTTTGTGAGCGAAGGAAGGATGGGAAGTTAGGAAGTGGAGACAGTGGGAACAGACAACAATTTCCAGAAATAGAACTGTAGTACAGAGGTAAGCGAGGAGGGTTTCAGGAAAACTGGTGGGACAGAGATATGTGATTGGTTTGCTCAGCATCTATTCCAACTCTTTTTCCCCCTAATATGCCTTCCCAGGGGGCAGAGGCTGGAAAGGGGAAAACTATACTGAACATGAAACACTCCTATTTGCTCAACTAAACTTTAGCCAGAGAATCATATGTGATTTAGGTTATGCTAATCAGATGCATGCATTAGAGGCTGAGCCTGGAGCCTAGTTGAGGTGGGAGAGATACCGCAAGGTGTGAGGCGTTCATGATGCTGCTGTGAATCCAAGCAGCAGCAGCAGGCTGGGAACCGCTGGGGGCGGGTCGAGGCTGTGTGTGCTGCCCAGCCTTTCTGAGTCTGATTCCCGGTCTGTAGAGTGGAGGGTATCAGAATTAAATGAGAAAAATCCTTCCATGGTTTTAAGGTGGGTGAACATAAAGACTTTCAGGCAGTCCACCAGATGGCAAAATAACTCTCTCTTCAAATGGAACAATTAGATCTTAGAAGTTTCCAGAATCAATCCTATCACATTCCTAGCAGCTCAAGTTTCAGACACTCTGGAGGTAACACAGGGACCGTCCAGTCCAGCCTCCCCTGTAATGAAGGAATCCCCTCTTTAATGGTGGGGTTTCCACTTGGTGCCTCCTTGGCATTTCCCTGTGTGGTCCTAGGCCGCGTGTGTCAGATTCGCCCAGGAGCACTTGCTTCACAGTTACTGCGAGTCCCCGAGAGAGGGGTCCTGAGTGTCTGCTTTGTTAAAACAAGCTCCCTGGGTGATCAGCGAGCAGGTGAAAATCCGGAGAGCCATGTGCCGATGAAAAGGAGTCCCATCTTGCTGAAACCACCCCTTGATAGCTGTTCTGTTAGAATTCTTCCTTCAGCAAGAGAAGTTGAGACCCACGCCAGCTCAGCCTTCTTGGGGCCACAGTGAAGAGATCAGCTCCTTTTTCCTTATGACAGCATCTGGACATTTTGAAGACAGCTGTCATAACCGATCTCATCCCATCATCTTCTCCAAGTGGCAATTCACACTTTGCATTATGCTGTCACCCTCCCTCCCTCCCTTTCTGGGAGACAGTATAGCGAGAGACTAAGAGCAGGGGCCTGAAGAATCTTGGCTTCGCTATTTATTAGCTTTGTGATTGTGGGCAAGTAACATCAACTCTTTGAGCCTCAGTTTCCTCTCATGTAAGATAGATGTAAAATTAAACTTAGCACACAGAATTGTTACAAGTACTAAATGGGGTCACAAATGCAAGGTGAAATGGTAGAATACAGCAAATGCTCAATAAATGTTATCTGTGTTAATGAGTCTGTTTCTCCACCTGTCAGATGGTTGTGACAGCTACTTCTGAGTGTGGGGAGAATTAAATGAGGTAATATGAGTAAAGGATTTGGCCCGTGTCTGACTCAGGAGTTTCTCAAGAATGTAAAAACAGCGCAGGGCTAGGATCCTAATGGGGTGCGATTTTAAAAAAATGACCAGTTAGAGCAGTGAGGTTAGCACAAAACTTCCCTCCTGGCACCCTCTAGGATCGGCACTAAATTCACGAAGGGAGGGCCTTAGAACTAGCTTAAAAGTTGTACCTCTTCTCCTTTCAGTAATTATTTCCTAACTGAGTCATAATTATTTAATAAAACACAAAGTTCTCAGTTTTCAGTTTTACTTCTTCACGGAAATTGCCTTCGAAACTTTGAAGAGTGCAAAAACCCATTTAAAATCCTTCAGTAAGATAAAACTGGAATCAGGTCTTTACATAATTCTTGCTAAAGAGAGAGAATGGAAATGGGGTTGTGGGAAGACATAATGATAATAATAAATTTCCCTGTGAACCCTTAATCCCAACAGTTGAAGAAGCAACTTTTAAATCGCCCAAATCAGACAAATAATTTAACTGAGGTGTACGGAAGGCTTTTCAGTTCCCATAAAGATTTACATGCTAGAAAAAAAGCTTCTGTGTTAGCCGATCTCTAACTCTATTTATCAAAATCATAAAAGTCATTGCACATATTTACATTTGGGCAGCTTCCATTACACAGTGAATTGTTGACATGCAGAAACTTTCGAGTTAAGCAGACCGAATTCCCATCTGGCTCCACCAGCGTGTTCTTTTGAAAGTAGCTGTCTCGGAGCCTCACTGCCCTCATTTGTAAAAGGGAACATCGTGTTTATCTCTGCAGGGACACTGGATGGATTAAGGGAGGCTCTGTACCTAAAATATTTAGAGAGCCCAGCCTGTGGTGAGTATACGCCATGCTTATGTTACCTAAAAACACAGGCGGGTCATCAGCTGTGTCTTAGAGAATGTAGACACGAGCGGGGCAGGTCTCTGCATTGGTCACGCTAGGTTGGTTTCACCCCAACACCTCAGGAAACATTCCCAGGGCACCAGCAGGAGAATGGAAAGGAGGAGCAGACTGGGGTGGGAGCGGGTAAGAGACAGCTCTTCTGTGTTCCTGGTGGGTGTGTGTGCGCGCGTGTGTGTGCAGGCTTCCCTGCACCAACAAGCAACTCTCAGACATGAGCAAGTGTCTAAGAATGCAACTCAGTTCTGACACTATCTACCTGGGACTAGCATCAAATTCTGCAGGTAAAGGGCTCAGCCCCACGAGACCACACTCTATTTCAAATGCCAGTTGCTGACCGATTGGTTATAAATCAAGAGGTTTCCACAACCTCCTCCTTGGGTTCAATTAATTGGCTAGAACAGCTCACAGACCTCAGGAAACACATTTACTCCCTACATTACCCATTTATTACAAAGGATATTAAAGGATATGAATCACCAGCCAGATGAGGAGACATACAGGGTGAGGTCCCGAACAAAGGGGCTTCTGTCCTCATGGAGTTTGGGGCTGGGTGCTGTGGGAAGTGAAAACATTATGGTTCTCTAACCCAGAAGCTTTCCAAACCCCCTCCTTTTGGGTTTTTGTGGAGGCTTCATGACATAGACGGGACTGATTAACTCACGGACCACTGGTGATTGGTGGGACTGAAAGTCCCACCCCTGGGTTGGTTCTCCTGGCAACCAGCCCTCATCCTTAAGCGCTTTCCAACAGTCACCGCATGAACATAACCCAGTTGTGGTGAAAGGGATTTGTTATGAATAACAAGACACATGTTTCACCTTTATGACCTTGAAAAGTTTTCAGGAACTGACAACAAGAGACCAAAAATTGTAACAAAAGAGCATTTCTCTTATTGCTTAGGGAATTCCAAGGGTCTGGGGAGCTGTGAGCCAGAACTGTGGATGAAGGCCAAATACACATGAGAAATATATTTTGGTTACCTGAATGACCAAATATATATATTTCTTATAAACCACAATATCACAACGCTAAACAGTATGAGGAGATATTAGGGTAAGTCGAGCTGGCTAAAGCCAAGTTGGAGGACTCTGATTGCTGTGTGTTAGGATTCCTTACTGAGGTTTTGATTTGTGATGTGGGCCGGGCCACGGGGTCAGCCTCCATTTTGTGGGTCCCACTATATGAATTACCTTTAGCACGACAGTGTAAAGAATATGTTGTATCAAAATTTTAAATTGTTATTAGTGGCTTTAGAGTTTCCACCACTGAAGTTTTTATACTTCTGATTACTTTTAAACAAGATTTGCACCTCAGAAAACATATTTAACATTTTGTTGTTGTTGTTGTTAGAAAAATTCCCATATAAATGCTGCTGTCTCATCGTATACAGCAATTTTTCGGGTCATGTATAATAAAGGATAGATATCTACTCTGAAGTGAAGGTATTTTGTGTTCTATGAATTGAACAGCAATCAGACAAAGAATGATTTATGGAATCTCTGAACATCAGGGCAGTAGATAATTCTGAAGTATCTTTTCTTTTCCCATACTTGGTACTAAGTTATTTTGAATTTATAGAAAGTTAAGCTAAATAAACCACAACTTTTCCTCTTGTTGCAAGAAGCCTGACAATTTAAAAAGGGACTAATACTCTTTCTCCATGTAACGGGTTGAATGGTGGCCCCCAAAAGACGTATCCACTTTCTAATTCTCTGAACCTATGAATGTGAACTTACTTGGGGAAAAGGTGTTTTTAATGTCATTAAGGATTCTGAGATAAAGAGATCACCCTGGGTTATTCGTGTGGGCTCTAAACCCAATGACAACACCTTTATAAAAGACACACAGAGGAGAGACACACAGACAAGAGAGGAAGAGGCAACGTGACCACGGAGGCAGAGCCTGGAGTGATGTGGCCACAAGCCAAGAATGCTCAGAGCCACCAAAAGACAGAAGAGCCAAGCAATGCATTGTCCTCCAGAGCCTTTGGAGGGAGTGTGGCCTTGCTGACACCTTAATTTCAGACCTCTGGCACCCAAAACTGTGGGAG